CTCTCTCCCAGTCTACTATTGTCAACACAAATCACAGAGGAATTGGAGCAGGGGTGGGGGGAAATGAATATCTATTATGTGACAGGCAACAGTTCTGAGCCTTAAAAACAAAATGTAATGGGACATGTGAAAATGTGACATTAAGTGAATATATTCTGGTTCCAAGCACCCATTCCATTTCCCCTGAATGCCTTTTGTTTCTTTGTGCTTTTTCTAAATAGCATTAGTGCAGAGTTAAAGAGCACACAGGTAGCAGGTCCTTTGCAGTGTGATTCAAACTAAAGGCATAGTCCTCTTCTGAGACAAATAAGTAAAATAGCTTTATTGTGATGTCATCTCTTAGCTACAAGTAACTGTAGTTTAGCACCTTGTAGTTTTAAAGAGATTATTCTCTGTCCTCATAAGGGGAAACTGCCCTCATCTTCATTGCTCTTTTTTTAAGATTTTATGTTTATGTCCATGTTTTGCCTGCATGTATGTAAGTGTACCACACACATGCCTGGTGCCTGTGGAGGCCAGAAGAGGATATGGAATACCCTGGAACTGGAGTTAAGGATAGGTGTTAGCACCATGTCAGTATTGGGAACTTGAGCCCCATCTTTATTGTTCTTAAAGGTGTATAATTTCCATACTGATCTGAGGTATCTATATCTCTGGCCAAGAAGAGATTGGATTCTGACCTCTGAACACTTCTGAAGAACTTTAAAAATAGAAAAGTAGAGAGCAATGTATCCATTATGAATTTATTTCCAATATATAACAGTTAATAATAAATTTGATACATACTTTTTAAAAAGATTGATTTATTTTATGTGTATGTGCCTGAACGTATGTAGGCACACCATATAGGTGCCTGGTGCCTTCGGAGGCCAGAAAAGGGCATCAGATTCCCTAAAACTGGAGTGAGCTGTCATGTGGGTGCTGCAAACTGAACCCAGGTCCTCTGCAGAAGCAAAAAGCACTCTTAACCGCTGACCTGTCTCTCCAGCCCCCAATTTGGTATACTTTCTAAAAAAATCACTAGCTAGAGGCTTGAGCATACTCACTGGTAGAACACCTGTGACACCTGCGTCAGGCTCTGGGTTCCACGTCTGTGGGGGAGAGAAGGGGCAATAGCTAGTAATAGCTGGGTCACTTCATCTGAGTGCAGAAAGAATAGTCTATATATGTGATTAGGTCACAAAGTCAGTCTTCTTTTTTCAAGCTTTACATTCTGTTCTTCACTTTAATAATGATGACTTCTATGGGATCCAAAGCCTTTTCCTAATTCTGCTCCCAGGGTCCACATTCCTATAATTAAAATTGAGACAAGGTTTCAGGCTAACTGCTGTTGCCATACAGAATACTTCCAGAGGTCACTGATAACAATCTTTCTTAAAATTTTAAATCATCCCCATAGAAAATCTGAGCTCCTTTGATTTTTGTTTGTTGATGCAATGGGGGGATGTTTGATGTTGGCACCCATGCATGCTAAGTGAGCACTCTAACACTGAACTCTGCCCCTACCCTCAGTCTCCTTGTTCTGGATATTTTCCTATTCTGCTGTCTCTTCAGTTCCAATCAGGTGGTGGCAGGTGGGAGTAGGCTGGAGGAGACTGAGCCCTCTGTCTTTTCAGGAAGTCCTAGGTCTCCCCTCTCCATCTCTATGCGGCCTCCCATGCTTGGTTAAGTGGTAACTAGGCTTTTTACATAGTTGTTCAGCTCTTCCAAGGGAACAAGAAAGAAAATCTGCAAAGCCATCTCACAAATTACTCCAGCAGCTGTCATGGTTTCAGTTCTATTACCTCTCAGTGAGTTAGAGTAGCAAATCTCACTCAGATTAAATTAGGAGGGAGCTATGCAAGGGCCAACCTTGGAAACCAGCAAGCACCACCGCCACATCTGCACCAAGAAAAGTTCACATCCTCCTCTTGGCTAGACATTATAGGATTTTTTTTATTTTTTTATATTTTATTTATTATTTTTATTTTATGTGTATGAGTGCATTGCCTGCATGTTTGCAAGTACACCCATGTTATGAAATGCCTTGGAGGTCAGAAGAGGGCATTGGATTCGTCTTGGAACTGGAGTTAAAGACTGTTCATAGCTGCCATGTGGGTGCTGGGACTCGAACCCAGGTCCTTAGCAAGAGCAGTCAGTGCTCTTAACTGCTGAGCTGTCTCTCCAGCCCCTATTTTATTTTTTTTAATTTATTTATTTATTTTTGTCTTTTTGAGATGGTCTCCCTGTAGCCCCAGCTGGCCTGGAACTCACAATGTAGACCAGGCTGGCCTGGAACTCACAGAGATCTGCCTACCTCTGCCTCCTGAGTGCTGGGATTAAAGGCATGCACCACTACACCCAGCTTTTTATTATTTTAATTTTATGTGAATGAGTGAATTTCCTACATGTGTGTAAGTGCACCCATGTTGTGCAATTCCTGTGATCAGAAGAGGGCGTCAGATTCCCCTGGAACTGGAGTTACAGGTGATTGTTACCTGCCCTGTGAGTGCTGGGAATCAACCCCAGGTCCTCCGCAAGAGCAGCCAATGCTCTTAACTGCTAAGCCAAATCTCCAGCCTATAGGCTTCTTTTAAATGTGAGTAATATCTTTTCCTCTGGTTTCTTGACTCACATGTCACAAGAAGAGAAGGGCTTTTTGCTTCAAATATAGGAAAACAACTTGCATTTCCTGTGCTGTTTACTGATCAATAAACCTTCACTAGCAGGGCTTCTAAATCAGAGGGCTTCAGATACTTTAGAACTCTTGAATGGTTGCAGAAAGGTATGTACTCCTTGCATCATATCTAAACCCTGAAGGTTCACGCATATCTGCATGTTCCTAGGGAGGGGATTCTTGGTTTCACCAGATCACCTTAAGATGATTCCAAATATGCAAACATCTAAGGCTGCTTCGAACCCAGCAAAGAGCAGCACTGGATTTTCACCAATTAATATACTTCTAAAGTATGGGGGGAGGGGGTCTAATGTATCTGGAGGGGAGAATTCTTTACACATACATACACACACACACACACACACACACACACACGCACACGCACACGCACATACACACACATGCTCCCTGAGTGAAAGAGTAAAAGAAAAATGAGATGCCTACTAAACGACAAAGCAATCATTAGCTTATACTTCTGGCACTTCATCGAGTGCTTGAAGAAAGAGAAGGGACTGGCTTTAAATCATTGTCCACAGGAGCTGTCTTATGAGGATGAAGGATCATTCATCTAGATAATCACACTGCCAGCTGCCTGAACAACTTTAGCACTCTTGTTTCCCATCTGTACCTGGTGAGTGGGTAAGAACTTAACCAGATTTTGGCTTCTTTCCCCTAAGCACCCTCCTTTTCTCCCTTCCTCTTTTTTCCTATTTCTCTCTAAATTTTGTTAAAAGATAGCATAGCACCCAGGGTTTCAGCTAAGTCTCCCTGGGTTCATACATAAAATGCCTAGCAAAATCTGAACTGGCCACATGGCCTTGAAACTGAACATGGGAAATCCCTCTGCTTACTATATTGTCTACTGGGAACTCCTGGAACATCCCAGTAAAGAAGCTTAGGCTGGAAGAAGCAGCTCTCTGGGACCAGAAGAAATAGAGTGGGGCAGTGGAGCACTAAATGAAAATTAGGTTGGGCCTGTAGGTCAGGGGTGGAGCACTTGCCTAGTAGCATGTACAAGGCTCTGGGTTCCATTCCTAATGCTGGAGGGGGGGGGAGAAAAGAAGGAGGGGGAAGAGGGAGGGAGGAGGATGAAAACAAAGAAAAATAATTGGATAAAGTTCCCGAGGTGAACTTTATGACTTTAAATAAAAACATTAGCTTATTAAGCCACTTCTATTACACCCTAGAGAATAGGCTTAACCCTTTGTCCGTGAAAATTTCCACCCCTCCATTCCATTTTTTAGAGGAATCCCTCTAAAAAACATTTACCTTGCTTTTTTCAGGCAAACTCAGCCAAATCCATCAGCTTAGACCTCCGCCCTACAAAGGCTTTGCATACTGACCAGAATGTGAATTCTCTCAGTGCCCCTGGCTATGCCCCACCCTGTGAATAAGTATACTGGGAGTTAGTTGGGGGGGGGCTGAAGGGTGGCCGAGAGAACTTAATCCCTCTTTTCATCACTTGGGAAGTGGGAGCACAGCACCTGAGCTTGCAGGCTTGCTCAGGCACAAACCGTGCAGGACTGCACTGAGGAAACATCTGGCACAGGAAATGCCAACTCCAGCCATCAGTTCCCATGCTTCTGGCTGGACAATGTGTGAAAAGTGTTCCAGCCATTAGCACTACAGATTGAAGGGGTTGATGTTTGCAGCCTTGCATAGGTTTCTTCACATTGGGGTGTAACACACATCACCCCAAACCACCCACAGAGAATCTCCTGGAAACTTCAAGTGTTAGGAAGCGCAGCCATTCACATCTGTAGTCATAGGAAAATACACTACGCTTTAGACAGATCAATATAATGATTCAACAACCGAAAAAGCAAAATTGTAAATTGGGCATCTATTCTGATTCAAGTGATATACCCGAATTAAAAACATTTAAATTATTACTTTTAGAGATTAAGATCACTTGGAATACGTGTACCAAGTTCGTCCCATGAGGAATTTTTCCCATGAGGAATTTTCCCTGCATTAGAACTACATCACATTTGCACACCCTACTGTTCACTTTTAGGGCTTTTTTTCTTTAAAATATTAAGAAAATTGAGAATTCTACAATTAACTATAAACATAATGTTTAGAGATGTTCTTTATTATTAATTTCTGATAAAAACGACTGTGATAGAGGAACTAAGTAAAAGAACAGGATTCCAGATTTTATTTTTTTTAAAGACTGAAAAAACACGCGGGACAAAATTTCTTTGATCAATTCACGTTCAAGAAATGAAACAAATAGTTGAGGCCCGTTAAAACCTGGTTTACTTGAAACTGGACAATGACGTGGGGAATAAGTCCCTAAATACATTTAACCTCGCACACGCACCCCCCCCCCCCCCAAGTGGCAGACAAAATAAATTACCATAAATTATATGCCTAGGCAACTTAAAAACAAAGTGAAACAGGAGGCTAAGGATTTCCTTAGCGCTTCCAGGAAGTGTGTAACACTGCTTCTGGCCTGCAGGCTGGGGCGGACCGGGAGCCCGTCAAACGTCCGGGTAGTTGCAGTAATACACCGCAGAGCTGGCATCAGACACCACTGAGGAAATGGCCCCATGGCTGTCTGCGAGGTTCACGCCGCAGTCATGTCCCTGGTAAGGCAGGCCCATGTCGGGCTTGTACACAAAGTGCAGATACTGTTCAAATTCCGTGCGGTCCACCTCCCCCAGGAGCTCTGCGGGCTGACCGGGGTCCGTGCCATCCCGACAGGGCAGCGACTCGGGCGGGGGCGAAGGCTGCCTGGGGCCGGGCGCGGTGTGCTGCTGGGGCTGCTGGGGCTGCTGCGGTTGCAGTGGCTGCTGCATGTGGAAACCGCGTCCGCCGCCCGCCGCGGGTGAGCCCACGGCCCCGTAGTACAGGTGCAGGGCGCTGGGGGGCGCCAGGAGCCCCGGCATCGCCGGACCCGGGGGCTCGGGACCCAGCCGCGCGTGCATGGGGCCGGCCGGCTGCTCTGCGGGCACCGCGTAGTCCGAGACCTGTGCGTAGCTGTAGGCGCCGGCGGGCGGGCAGTCCCCCGGCATCGGGGCGAAGAACGAGGGGTCCGGCTCCACGCCGTCCAGCGGGGACGTGTCGGGCGTGGGCAGCGGGTAGCCGTCGAGCGGGGACGCGCCCAGGCCCTGGCAGTCGCGGTAGTGGCCGCCCATGTGCGGGGGCAGCAGCGGTGGCCCGGCGGGGAAGCCCTGCTCTGGGAAGGGCAGGCCCAGGCTGTCCATGGCCACGCGGCCGCCGTCGGGGCCCAGGGCGGGGGCCTGCGGCTCGGCGAGGCCGTGCAGGAAGCCTCCCTCCACCCGCTTCATCCGCTTCACCTGCTTGCGCCGCCGGGGCCGGTACTTGTAGTTGGGGTGGTCCTGCATGTGCTGCACGCGCAGCCGCTCGGCCTCCTCCACGAAGGGCCGCTTCTCCGCCAGCGTCAGCGCCTTCCACGACTTGCCTGCGGGGTGCGGGTAGGTGGAGAGGGCGCGGGGCTTACCCGGCTGCGCTCCCCCATCCGGCCCACCTGGTCCCACCTCCCGCCTCCAACCTTGAACTGTGCAGGCCGAGGGAAGCAGGGGTCAAGTTAAGAGAAGACGCATCCCAAAGACTGCCCTCACTTAACTTCTGCGGCCTAAAAGCGACTTCCCCGCTCATCTTTCTCCCGGTAATTTGAAAGACCGAGCGTCCCCTGGCCTGGGAAAACATAAGGCCAGGGGTGCCTTCGTCGCCGCTCGGAAACGCCGCGACACGGGAAATCTGAGCGCGATGGCAGGCCAAAGGCGGCTTTGGCGAGTCCGGCAGTGGGGAAAAGAAAGCCAGATCCCCCAGAAACAGATGTATCTAAAACACAACACTGGTGTCCGGAGCGAGGCTGTAAAGATGCCTTTCGGCTCAGAAGGGGCTCCGCGCGCGCGCCTCCCGCCAGGACCCGGCTGGGACTCACCTAGCATCTTGCTGAGCTCCGCGTTGTGCAGATCCGGGTTCTGCTGCGCCAGCCGCTTGCGCTCGTCTTTTGCCCACACCATGAAGGCGTTCATCGGCCGCCGGATGCGGGACTCACCCTTCGCTCGGCCAGAGGCCCCGGCCGGCGCTCCGCTAGTCGCCACCACCTCGCCCTTCACCTTTACGTCCCCGAGGGGACTCAGAGACTCGGCCCAGGGGCAGGGGCCCAGCCCCGCCATCACCGCCGGCAATGCGTTCCTGGGCTGGCTCTGGTCGTCACTGGCGTATCCCGCATCCGGGCTGCTCATGGCGTTCCAGACCTGCCCCCGCGCTCCGCTTCCCGCCTCGGGACACACCGCCTCCTTGGACTGTGAGGCAGGGGGTGCGGAGCGGGCCGGGAGATGCCCAGAGAGCTGCGCAGCTTTCCGGGCGCGAACTGCCGCTGCAGCGCCGAGCCAGTCCTAGCCCACCGCGTAGCCAGGGACCCGAACGACCCAGTGACACTGCGGGTACCTCCCGGCCAGCCGCTCTTTTCTATATAGATGTGGCCAATGGCGTGGCGGGGGCGGGCCGGACCCGCGTCCTTAGGCCTCCGCCCAGCCGGTGGTCCGAGTCCCAAGTCCCAGCTCAACCCCTCGCCCGCCCCTTTCCCCTCCCCCGGCCTGGCGTCCCGGGCTACACCTGCCCCGGGAAAAACTGGCTGGAGCCGGGCTCTGGCGCCAAGTCCTCTCCTACTCGGGAAGTTGGACTACTGAAATTCAACTGTCTGGGGGTGCTCACTGTACCGTGCTGGCAGAGGCCCTAGCCCAAAGTTGACATTAACATGCTAAGCAGCGATCCTATTCTCTTTTGAATCACTTTATTACTGAAGCCAGGGGTATAGCGGTGGTGGAGGATCTACCATCCTGCAGAACTGCATGGAGGTCTCCTTCAAGTTCTTTTTCTCAGACAGAATATCCTGTACATCTCCACTCCCAAGAACTCATCTTGCCTCTATTATATTAAAAATGTTAAGCCCAAGGTAAATTGTAATTTTTTTAAAACAAAGTAAAAATGTCACATCTCCGGTATTTTATTACCCCAAGAATTCAAAATCGATCCTTGAAAATTTGTACCTGAAATACAGAAATACAACAAAAGTTTCTCATATGTGTTCAGTAAGAGAGGAAAGACCTGGTTTTGATTTCTAAAGACGTGTAGAGGTCCTGTGTTTCATTCCAAACACCCATAAAAATAAAATACAAAATAAATCCTAAAGGCAGCAGCAGGGTGAATTTTATTGCGGGGAAACTACGGCTTAAGGTGGTTCAGGAAAGAAAATCTGAATGCCTGTTAAACTTACTTTAAACCTCAAAAAACTTTTCCATGGGATTTTAAAACTGTATTTACTCATGACAAGAGCATGCCATTCACCACTTAGCTCCCTCCAAAACTGAGAAAACGAATTTAGCTTCCACCTACTCTTAAGAATTAGACTCTATTGTAGCTTACAGGAGATGAAACTGCTACAGAGAGCCATTAAGGCATGTTCTGGGAGGCTGACATTCTCACCCAGCAGTCACCTTCAGATCAGGAATTCCAAAGTGCTGAGTCCAATGTTGAGGACTCATATTTGTATTGCTTTCTGAGAGAACCAACATAGTCCTTCTTACATAATTTTGTGGGGAAAAATTCAAGGGATGGGGATACTGCTTCATTAGAATGCTTACCTAGCCTGCAAGAAGACCTGGGATGCCCCTCCCCAGCACCGAATAAATCTGGTATGGGAGCTGATACCTGTAGGAAGTGGAGGCAGAAGGATCAGATCAGAAGTTCAGGATCATCCTTGGCTACATTTAGAGTTAGAGGCCATCCTGATCTATTTGTAGCCTTGGGAAAACAAAAAACAAAAAACCTAGCAATGCTTCTATCACCACACTAGATTTTGCTTACTGTGAAGGGCTGGTTGAAAAGTATGCACCAGAGGGGCAAACACTGGAGTTTTCTTATGCGTTATTTCACGGATGCGTTCTGTACCAACTCTGGTTTACTACTGGCTTACTACCTGTATCTCTACAGAGCTTTCCCTAACTCCTGGCCTTCAGTTTCTGGCATTTCCTTTTAGCCAAAGATCTCCTAAGAAGCCAAGTCTTCTCTTGCTCCTTTCCTTACTTTGTAAAGGATGGTAGCGTCCCCTCCCATTTATATACAGTTTCTGTATGGGGACAGTGGTGAGAGTGGTTAAAGCTCCAGGTCTGTAAATTTCAAACAAGGAAAAAAAATCTTCTTAAATCAAAGAAAATACTATTTTGAGACTTTAAAAGCAATTGATGTATTTTCCTTTAAAGTTTTACTTCTTCTGGAAAATATATTATTGGCTTTAATATAAAAAATGATTGCTATGTAAGTAAAGAAACTGTAGGCGTAGAGGCAGCAATATTACAAACTAATCTCTTAAGAAACTTATTCTTCTAAAAAGACATTTTCTAATTTTTTGTTGTATGTTTTGAGCCAGACTCTCCCTCTGTGATCCCCCCACCGCCTCTGCAGGAGTACTGTTGTTACAGGCCAGCACCACTGCAAGGGGCTCTATCTTTTGTAGCTAGTAACAAATATCTTTTCAAAGATCTCCGAGCAGAATTCTCTCTTACAGCGAAATCTTTTATGAACTAAGAGCATTTTGTTTAGAATGAAGATTGAAAAACTAAATGAAAACAATACCAGGTCCACAATGCATTTTCTCTGTCTTGACTATAGTTTCTTCAAAACATACCAGACAACAGAAAACATAATTGAAGTGTAGTTCCAAATAAGGGATTTGCCCGGTTTTGCCTTGGTTCGTCTTCCTGTTCTTGCTCAGCTCCTAGCAGAAGAGGTGCACTTGGGAACCTGGGACGGAGAAATTGGTGGTAAAGAAAACCTAAGGGCGGTCCATCATTATTTGCACTCCTTCCTAGAAGGCTAGGGTCTGATTTGTGGGGAGGTGAGCGCATCTCTGAGATGGTAAGCTCCCACTTTACTTAACAAACCAGGAACTGCGGTGTTTTTCCAGGACTAGTCCCCTTCCCGCCCTCTTACCTAGATCTAACTTCTGCTGACATTCTTGCCAGATACTTTTGGAGGAGTGTTGGGGACGACCGCGCCGCCACAGACCCGTCGGCGGTGTGTGGACCGTATTTCAGTTTCTTTACTAAAGCCGGTGTTGAGGCTGAGTTCGACGTTATCAGGGCCAGCCACAAATGTCACAAGTAAAGACGCAAACATCCGGAGCCGCTTCCTGCAAGCCTTGCTTTTCTCAACACCAGAGATTTACTGGGGGGGGGGGGTGGTT